TGTATTCAGACTTATACTAGCCCAATTGAACCTAGGAATATTAATAAGAAATAGAAAAAATAAAATGGATCATCATACCTTGGATTTACCAGTGCATAAATGAACGGACTGTACAAAATACTTGATTTAGCCACAAGAGCAGCAATCAAYCCCGTGTGGGCATCAATCAGGTGCGATCCTCCGAAAACTGAAATAAAAACATAGACGCAGTATGGCAGCCAAGTGAGTGTGAACGCTGCAATTGCCAAACCTGCCATTTTACTGATGTTGCGAAAGCCTTGCATTTTTTTCTGTGTCGTCGTTGAAAACCGAGTGACTGTTTTAAGGTGTTGGTTGATTTCTTTGTTGATCTTCCAAAGGTAAATAAACGCTATAGAGACTGGTAAAATATACGCTAAAATCGTCAAGAGTAAAACGTATACAAGGTCTGGCGTGTACTCCGCTTTCCAGTTTGGAKTGCAATTCATATCGGCACTTTCCTTGATCACACTTGTCCAACCTGCTAAGGGTGGCAACATCGCAAGGAAAGAGTARAACCAAATCATAAATAWAACTTTATAATGCTTCAAGTTGCGATTTTTTGGCGAGTATTTAGTAATTTGACGTGATWTAATCGTGTWGTAAATTTCGATTGTTATGCAAGTCATTGTAGCGACCATAGATACAGCGGCTATTCCGCCTAGAAAAACTACGAAACGGCATACAACATCGTTGAACGCCCACTCGTTGGCAACGGCTGAGGCTAACGTAGATGGAAAGCTTCCGACTATCATGATCATGTTTGATACTACTATATTGATCAAATAGGGCGTTAAGGACTTGGTCTTGATATCGTTAGATCGTATGAGGACTATAAAGGTGACTATTTGAATAAACCCTCCAAACAGAATCAGAAAACACAGGTATGCTGCAATAATATGGTATCCAGTTGCACTGAGCCGGTCCATCGCTGCAACGAGGCTTCGGTATACTGGTACTTTTTACCGATTGACTTGTAGTGATTCCTGAAAAAATACCAACCGTCCTGTCGGTATTGACAAGGGTAAGTGAAGAGTACCTATGAGGTGGGTTCTCTCTTGTTTAATAAGAATTAGCCCATAAGTTGAATAGCCGTATTCATTATTTCGTGATATCCGGCAAAGCATTAACGTCGTCAATTTCAAAAAGCATTGTGGACTCATTGCGTCGATAAATCGGTCGTTTAATAGCTTCAATTATATTAAAGTCTTTAATATTAGATGCAAGAGTTAATAATGCAAAATAACAAATATATTTATACAAARTATACTCATAGCCTTGTTAACTGAATGTTCATATATTTATTGGAATGGCATTTACCTGTTTATTTGCCTAATACATTCCGTGCAGCTTTTAAAGTCTTTGGTCTTCGCTTCGTAAGTCGTGTTCCGGCCCTGTTGTTTAWGTCTCAACAAAATATGAATGAAAACGTTGATTGTGGGAAATKCAGTAAATTTGTAGATGGACCTATTGTTTGAATGACGATACCAATGCACGCAAGCACACTCTTTAATTAACTCCCATTTTTGCACTCAATCAACCACTTGACTTTTGGAATGATAAAGCAATTAAGAAGACCAAGGATCAATGAGGATCCAGGATCAATGAGAAACGACAATTTTTTTTATTACCAAGGCACTTTCTATCGCGACGGGTTATATGAAATTGAAATGCTGTCAATCCTGAAAGTTTGAAACAAAAAATCAAAATAAATATGTAGCTACTGCATGAAATTCAAGTTTAATCTGATYAAAAATCTCTAGGCTAATCGAAATCTGGCTTTCAGGCTTTCGTGCTTAGAAAATTACCTAATAAACAGTTGATCTTTGAAAATTTGTTCCCGAGTATCTTATACAGCTGGCCCCTGATAAAAATCCCAGAAGCTGCGATCCCCTAAACGTTAAAAATCCTGATCCCTTATCCCATTTACCATCATATCACGATCTTAGGCYGAGTACAAGAAAAACTAAACTAAATAACAGAAACAAGAGCAGATTTTCGTCTTTTTAATACAAGTAGTCAATCAGTTTGTACCTCTAAATATTGACAACTTAATTCTTTTGGGATTTTATGACGATTTCCGTGTCTTGTCATATCAGTCGGATTTTCCAAGAAGTTTGCTTTCAAACCGCTATGTAATCAAACGATTACGGCTTAAAGACCCATATGCATCCAAGAACCTTTGCTCGCTTTTTACCAGATGAAAAATAAAACCATCTTTGATTTTGAACCAAGCAGGAATCAACTTTCAAGATCAGATTCGTAAAACAAAACAGATCGCAAGGGTTCCAGGATACACACAGTTCTTTAAATCTAAGGCTCTGGAACACAGCAGCCAGGCCGTTAAAAAYATTCTAATTACACCCTAAAAATTATCCATTAATTCATAAGAAGCAAAAGCTCTATTTCACGGTTTAGGTTCCAGCAAACTGAAACACGACTCCTCTAACTTAAGCRGAAAGTTTTCTGAGAAAAATGCCRCTTCACCTACAAAGGCCTTTGATGGTATTACACATCGAGTATTTATCCCCTTCAGTGAAAAACACTCCTCTTTGGCAAATAGGCAATGTACCGCGACGCCATTTCACTATGGTACAAATCATAATGGGAGTCCTTGCACTGTTAAATGTCTGTGTCATTTCTTCGTGTTATTTTTTGAGAACATAAAAAGCGTTCCCATTAAAACCCCAATATTCTATAATGGCGTCGCTGAACATCACCCATTAGTGCACTATCAACCAAAACATCAAGATTTGACATATTCCTCTGTTTATAACGCTTTTGAAATCTTATTCTTCCCAACGGCAGGAATGTACAAAAACATTACATTGTAACTGATAAAGCGCTGATTTCTCGCGCCTTAGAAAACTATAACACTTCTCGTAGGCTTTTCAAATTTATTTTAAATCTAACTCTTTTGGGATTGCTCAAAATAAACGACCCAAATACCGAATACAAGAATTCTATTCATTTTGAAGTTCATTGTGCTGTGTTTCGAAACTGTAAGTTTATCTATGTACATGTTAAAAAGATAACAGAAATCTGGTGGACGTATTCATCTTCTAAAGAATTGTATTTTTTTAGAAAGTACATTTTAATCCGTTTACGTGTAAACTGTGGTAAACTATTGCTTTCAATAAATTCACGATACACACCTATCTTGAAATAATTCCTCAAAATATACATTTGAAATTGTAAAAAGTTAACTCATTTTTTTAAGAAACTCAAGAAAGAGATTATGCATTTTGGCGCCATTTTGGACGCTATTAGACATTTTGCACTTAAATAATAAAGATAATTGCAAGAAGGACTCAGATTGCAATATAAGAAGACGAAAATAGAGTTTCCCTATCTCCCCTGGCAACGACCTAACTACCTAGAATTACACACATCAAAATATTCTAATTTTTTTTAGAAATCTTGTTTTCCCTGACTACCAATATCCCATTGACAACTGAAACGTTTCAATGTAAATCCTTCCTCTATCAAGCATTATAATCCAACAACAATTTTTCCTCCGCTCTCATTCGTGGAAAGTCGACCGCGTGATGCTATTGTGCCAGCTGCTTCAGAAAATATTGTTGTTGAATGATAAAAACAATAGAGCAGTTTAAATCTCGGGCATCTTGCTGTGATAGTTGCCCTTGGAAACTGGATGTTACTCAAAACTTCATAGTCGCCCTCGAAGTGCGTTTTCAGGCTACTATTTGCTCCTCCGAACATCAATCCAGTTTCCAAGGGCAACTATCACATATAATGCCCTAGATACGACTACCCTATTGTTTAATCAGTCCATATTAAGGGGGTGGGGATTGTGATAGAATGGGAGGGGATGGGAGCAGGAAGACTTAGGATAGGCGCCCCATAAGGAGGGCTACTTTGTAACATTTGAYTGCTCCAGTCCACATTCCCTTGGGGCCTAAATTAAGGCGCACGACAACTAGATCACGATATCTACAAATTCTATGAAAGTTCTCCTCTTAAACTAGTTAATAACCACAAAAGCTGGACACGTTCCAGTCGATGGCAGTAGCGCTTAGAGTGTTGAGGCGCTCCTCACCCATTTTAACTTTGTCCTTTATCTCTGCGTGCATCAGCGCCAACTGTGTCTTCATGTCAATGTAGTACTGAAAGTCTGCAAATTCATCTTCATCTAAGTAGTTTTCTAAGAATCCTGAAACAACTTCACCGCGTTTGTCGTTGACTTCTTTGATCTTACACGCTTCCTCGTATTGTGATTTGACATGGTCGATCTTGTCCAGCAAAATGTCCTGAGAAATGAAATGGATGGAAGAAGTCAAGAAAATATGACTGGGATGAAGAGAATTGGAAAAACAGGATAGAGGAAGAAGTATCAAACCTTAACAACACCACCAACAACAACAAAAGTTCGCAATTAGTAAATCGAAGGGTTTTACATTCAATCGAAACAATCAAATCAATCAATCAATACATTAGACCTTCTATCCAATCAAACCACAAGAAAAGTCAGATGATCAGCGAAATAGTGAACGAATCAAGCGAGCGAGCGAGCGTGTTAGATACGATTTGTCGCGTGCCACTTGATCTAAAGGGAACAAAATTACTGGCTCTACGATTAGACGCGTGCGACTTACGATTTGTCTAAGACTTTTGAACCTGGACTTTAAAAACCAAATGACAAGTCGTAGGAATGACGCGTACACTTCAAGCCGCACGCGACAAGTCGCATCGTGTAAACAGGAAAAAAGGAATGGGAACGAAGAAAGGAAGGGACGGGAAAGAAGGAAAAGGAGGAATTTTACTCACTCGTTGTTGTCGGTCGGCTTCCTCCGACATGTCTAGTTCTTGCAGGGTGTTTTCATATCGGTGCATTCGTTGCGTTAATGAGAGCAGAAGTAAAACGATCTTGTTTAATTCTCCTGTGAATCGTTGGTACTTGGAAAACTCTGAAGGAGTAGCCTTTCCCTCGACGAGTACTGTAACCTTTTCTCCTAGTTTCTCATTTTCATTTATTTCTTCAGTTATTTCATTCATTTGTGTCCTGAGATCTTGGATTTTCTTTTTCATACTATCCACAAGCTCACACTATTGTTGAAATCAAAACAGTAGTTTAGTCATACAGATGAAATAGTTGAGAAAAAACTAGTAAATAAGTATTAGGATTAAATTAGGATTTTCACTTCGATAATGAACTGACGTTTATTTACAAGGTATATAATGTTATAATTGTTATAATGCAAAATGCATAATGCCGTGTGGTAGTGTTGATGCGAAATTCTCAAAAAATGTGTTTTTTAAGGAATAAAAGACGAAAATAAAATAAAATTAAATTAAAAGAAAAAAAGAAATTTTTGACGTGCGAGAGCGTGTTTTGATACTGTAATCAAACATGGTTTTCGACCAATCACAGCGCGCGTAGTATCCTAAATATTTTAGAAAGTGTAATATTATAATTTAACAAGTATATAATAGAGATGCGCGCGACGTTTCACGCTCATCTCCAATATTAAAAGGACCATATCAATTGATGGGAATGGAGTATTTCAAATGAAGGAGTATAAGTGTATGATTGTATTTGCAACTTGCTTTTCAAGAACCCGTGAAACATACTTCATAGCATTAAGTACACTTTGCTTCACGGGTTTTTACACCCCTAACGCACTGTATACATGGGGTAGGGTACTCTTTTTTTCGTTTCATAATACAGAGTTAGCCCTGCCACCTAGGAGCACCCTAACCCATGTAAACAGGTTCAAACAAGCTTAGAGATATATTTGGTAACATTCAGTATCAGCAGACGTCATCACTACAATCATCATCATCATTATCAACACGAATAATTCATATGGGCTATATCTGATCTATAATACTGATAACAATTCTATCAGAACAGTTCACTAATCCTCAATAATCATAACAAAAATCACTCATTCATTTACTTTCCCATTTGTTTCACAATTCTTTCATTCACTTCCACTTACCTTTTCCTTATCCAGTTGTTCCAGCTTTGGGCTCATCATGCTTCCAGGTCTACTACTCGACGGCGTGGACAGACTCGATCCAGATAGCGGACTGGTATTACCACCTCGATCGCTGTCAGGACTTGCACGCTCGTCACCATTGAAATCACTTCGTGTTGGCGTTGATGACATAACAATTGGCGATGGTGACTGCTTAGTGATTATAGTTTCTGTAGAATCCAGTTCACTTTTAGAAGGCGAAGTTGATTCATTAAAAGTTTTCTCTTTAGGCGACGGCATAGGTTTGTACTCCGTATTTATATAATTATCACTCATGCTATCTGTTTTTCTCTCATTAAAACGTTCCTCGTATTTCGAATTTTTCACATTCATCGACTCTTCACTGCTGAGTTGTCGATCTTCAAGCCCCTTCTGACCTTCATTTTTATCGACATTGTGGATAACCATATCGCTATCTTCAGTTTTTAATTTGTTTTCCGTAAAAGAAAGCCTTTCGTTGCTTTTTGCTTCGGCATTGTAAACTTCATTTCGATTCTTATCACGTTTGAACGCCGCACGGAACGGCTCTCCCACAAATATCTCTCGAGGGGGAGTAGGGAGTGGAAGATTTTCGTAAGAAGTCTCGTGATAACTGTATGATGGGGGTGGTGGTGGTGGGAGTGAGTCGTCGAGTGTTGTGTTTGTAAAAACGTCGTCATCGCCAACAGAAAGCTTGGTATTTCTTTCACTCTGTGTTTGAATGGCTAAGTTTCTGTTGGGGACTTGTTTAGTGTTTTTAGCTGGTTTTTCTTCCAAGGTTTTGAACATTTCTTCTAAATACACCTCCTTTTCCTGTGTGCTTGACGACTCAGTGCGCAAAACCTGCTCATTTATCGGGTTTTCAAGAGAATTGTAACTTTTCTGCGGTTTTTCCCCTTGTGTAGAAGGCGATTGCACCACTGTTCTTGTAGTTGCAGTTATTTCCCTTGATGTAACTTTAACAGGAGATATCGGTTTCTCAACAATCTTATTGTTCTCTGGTTCATCATGTTCAATCGAATCAAGAAGCCTCTCTGTCGAGCCAAAGCGACCGGTTGATCGAAGTTCGGATCTTGCACTCGAAAACCTACAAATGAAAGCATACTTAGACCTTTGACTTGCGAAGCTAAAATAACTCGTTAGCGCTTAGATTAGTAAACGGAAATCCTCTTGTTATGTAATTTAAAATCATCACAACGACACAAAATTAAAATAAATTCGGACAGTTAGGAATCGCTAGCAAAATGTGTTGTAGAAAGCGGATAAAGTATGAGCAAGTCTAAATTGACAACAGACAGGAATTCAATATGCACTTCAATGTCATTCTCTAATAATTGTAACATTGTTCTATCATATTTCGGTGCATTGTTATTCGTTCGAAGAAGAACWGAATTATAMATTTCAGCAGCCTTTGTCMACAATATCAGTTTAAAATTTCACGTTTACAAAACTAGTTAGAGAGGAAGTTCACAGAGATAACTTCAAGAATGTATCCCAAACTGAACCACATGCAGATACGAGATCAGTAAACAACTTCACCTCAACTCTGTATTCGTCCCAAAGACACATATTCCGTGCTCGGCATTGTCTTCAAAACATCCTTGCAAATGAACAGTTTTGTGCAAACTGGGACAAGCCTCAGACATTATAATTACCAGCGTTTGACCGCCAAATAGGTCAACTTTACGAACAAATGCAGATCAATGCTTCGAATAGTTGCGCCCCAAGGTGAGTATCTATGTATAGGTGGGGTATCGAATGACCACAGTAGTTAAATATTGAGAGACTATAATTGCACTACGTTGACATGTGTGTAAAATACCTACTGCCCTTTGTTTGCACTCGTCTGGCTTTTTTTGGATTGCCATGAAACAACAACAACAAATTAACAACAACAACAAAAACAACAACAACAAAAAACACGGAACATCAATGACTAATCGAAAGAGGAAAAGAAATCCTCAGAGCTAGGCTGAGGATAAACTAGTTTGCGACCCTGGAGGGAAAATAGGCGTCGGGTGTGGCTGTGTGCCCTTACTAAAAAGAGGTTGGATGCGCTTGGAGGTCGGGTTTAAAAAGGACACTAAAGGAACGTATAAATCAACATTAATATGCTGTTCTTTTGTTGCTGCCTTACATGCCATACCAGAAGACATAAAGGGCAGAAGTAAGTGCTGAATTCAGGCCATATAAGGTACGATGCTAGTAAAAGTTATTCCCTGTTCTCGTCTGTATTATCTTGTGTACTGATAGAGAATTTAGTCCAAAAGGAACGCTATTCGTTCGATCGAGACGCCAATTTTCGAGCACGGTTTATTTCGGACACTAAAAGTTCTGCCAAGCTACCCTCAAAAATTCAATACAAATATGCTAGATGACGCCATAGAGAAAGAGGGCGATTTGTTTTCATTTTGGAATAAGATAAATTTTAAAAGCGTAAAAAATAGGTTAAATAATTTACTGACGATCCGAACGCAAATCCTTCTTTGGAGTAAAGTGCAACGAAGGACTAACCGTCTGCAACGTCAACAAGTTATTTCACCTATTTTTTTAAGGTGTTAAAAGTTATCTTAATGCACAACTGTTTCTTTAGAAAAGGCACCGACGCAGCTCACAGTAGTTTACCGCTAGTTTCCATCAATTTGTTTTTATATTAGATTCAAACTTACGTTCTGTTGAAGGCACCATAAGAGTTATCCCATGAACGTTGCTTGTGATGCTGTGCTCCTGGTTTGAGCTGGAAGTCATTTGGACCTTCTTCCAGAAGATTTGGTTGCGAGGAACTTTTTTCGATTTTCTGAATTCGCGACCTAACGGACTGCGGCGGCGAGACGACTTGGCTGTCTTTCATAAGCTTCTGCAGAATCTGCGTATCCTCGATTCGGCTAGATAGCGAATCAGCCTCTTGTTGGAAAGATTGGCGCTGCTTTTGTTGCTGTTGCTGCTTTTCTTTTTGTTGATGATCCTGTTGCCGTTGTGTGTATTGTTGTTTGCGGATTTCTTGTTGTGGTCGTTGATATGATTTAATCTGTTGTTGTTGTTGTGGTGATGGTGGTGGTGCTTGTCGTTGTTGTTGTTGTTGTGGTGGTTCTTGTTGTGCTTTTTGAATATACTGGGGTTGAGGATGCTGTTGTGGTTTGTGATGCTGCTGTAGTCGTTGATGCTGTTGTGATGTTTGTTGGTGTGATGCTAGATCATGTTGTTGTTGTTGTTGTTGTTGTTGTTGTTGCGGTTGTTGTTGATGTTGATGTCGAGTTTTTTCCTCTGTAGTAAGGCGAGTTCTTGTCTGTGCACTTTGCGGCCGAGTAACTTCAAAATGAAACAAATGTGATAAGTCACAACTACAAAAAAATCGAATGAATCGTTTAGATTGTCACATTTCTTTTTTTAAATGTCACATGCCTTTTCCGGCCAACCTTGCTTTTTCCCCTTCGCTTGGGGCCAGGACTTTTCAGGGTCTTTTTCCTGCCTTACCCCAAGCGAAGGGATACGTTCATGGTAACGAGGTTGTCATATAGCTGGATCTCAAAAGT